AATAAGAACGAAATAGACTTTATAATGAGTGTACACTCAGGAATCGTGCAGGATGTGGAAGTGGTTGGCAAGGTACGATGCAGTGACCATAGAATGGTACGGTCTCGAATGCGCCTACACTTGAAGAAAGAACGACAGAAACTGATACGCAAGGAGCCAATCAATGAGCTAGCACTGAGAGGGAAAGTACAGGAATTCAGAGTGTCGCTGCAGAACAGGTACTCGGCTCTTAGTGAGGAAACCAACCTTAGCGTAGATACAATGAATGATAATCTGACGAGTATTATTGCGGAGTGTGCAGTGGAAGTTGGAGGCAGGGTAGTTAGACAGGACACTGGCAAGCTTTCCCAAGAAACGAAGAACCTAATTAAGAAGCGTCAAATCATGAAAGTGTAAAGTACAACAGACAAAATAGAACTGGCAGAGCTTTCGAAGTTGATTAATAGACGTAAGGTATGCGATGTAAGAAGGTATAACATGGAGAGAATTGAACACGCTCTGAAAAACGGAGGAAGCGTCAAAGCACTGAAGAGGAAACTTGGGATAGGCAAAAGTCGGATGTATGCACTAAGGGACAAAGAAGGCAAAATAACTACCAATATGGATAGGATGGTTAAAATAGCGGAAGAGTTTTACAGAGATCTGTACAGTAGCGGAGACAACCACGACCTTAATACTATAAGAACTAGCAGTAACCCAGATGACACGCCACCAGTACTGACAGAAGAAGACAGAAAAGCTTTGGAGAGCATGCAAAGAGGTAAAGCTGTTGGTGAGGATCAGGTAACATCAGACCTGCTGAAAGATGGAGGACAGATTGTGTTAGAAAAACAAGCCACCCTGTTTACGAGGTGTCTCCTGACGGGAAGGGTACCAGAGTCTTGGAAGAACGCTAGCATCATTTTAATACATAAGAAAGGAGATGACAAGGACTTGAAGAATTACAGGCCGATCAGCTTGCTCTCTGTAGTATACAAGCTATTTACAAAGGTAATTGCTAACAGAGTAAAGAAAACATTAGAATTCAATCAACCAAAGGAACAAGCAGGATTTCGAACAGACTACTCAACAATTGACCACATTCATACTATCAACCAGGTAATAGAGAAATCCTCAGAGTATAACCAACCACTATACATAGCCTTCATAGAATACGAGAAGGCGTTTGATTCAGTAGAAATATCAGCCGTCATGCAGACACTGCGGAATCAGGGCGTAGATTAAGTATATATAAACATTCTGGAAGAAGTCTACAGGGGATCAACTGCTACCATAGTGCTTCATAAAGAAAGCAAGAGAATACCGATCAAGAAGGGTGTAAGGCAGGGGGACACTATCTCCCCAATGCTATTTACCGCGTGCTTACAGAAGGTTTTCAGAAGCCTAGAATGGGAGCAGTTAGGGATAAGAGTTAATGGAGAATACCTTAGTAACCTGCGCTTCGCCGATGACATTGCATTGCTGAGTAACTCAGGGGACGAATTGCAACTCATGATTACGGAGTTGAACAGGGAGAGCAGAAAGGTGGGTCTTAAAATTAATGTGCAGAAAACGAAAGTAATATACAACAACCTCGGAAAGGAGCAGCGCTTCGAGATAGGTAATAGTGCACTTGAAGTTGTAGAAGACTATGTCTACTTAGGGCAGGTAATAATCGCAGAGCCGAACCACGAGATTGAAGTAACTAGAAGAATAAGAATGGGGTGGAGCACATTCGGCAAGCACTCTCAAATTATGATTGGTAGATTGCCACTATCCCTCAAGAGGAAGGTATATAACAGGTGTATCTTGCCAGTACTTAGCTACGGAGCAGAAACCTGGAGATTTACAAAGAGGGTTCAGCTTAAATTGAGGACGACGCAGCGAGCAATGGAAAGAAAAATGGTAGGTGTAACCTTAAGAGACAAGAAGAGAGCAGAGTGGATTAGGGGGCAAACGGGGGTTAAGGATATCATAGTTGAAATAAAGAAGAGGAAATGGACGTGGGCCGGGCATGTAGCGCGTAGACAGGATAACCGCTGGTCATTAAGGGTAACTAACTGGATTCCCAGAAAAGGGAAGCGGGTTAGGGAGAGACAGAAGGTTAGGTGGGCAGATGAGATTAAGAAGTTTGCGGGTATAAATTGGCAGCAGCAAGCACTGGACCGGGTTAACTGGCGGAACATGGGAGAGGCCTTTGTCCTGCAGTGGACGTAGTCAGGCTGATGATGATGATGATGATGATGATGATGACTTCGCATTTAAAAAAAAACGCCAAATGCTGTAAAGCCGTCTTCTTTATATAATAAACAGCATTGCCGTGAAGTGAAATCGCGCGCCCAAATTCGCATCGATACTATTATAATTTCATGGAAGTTTCTGTACCGAATTGTCGGATATATCTAACTGATATATGCGTGCTCAACTACAGTAATTTTCGGGTTTTACCCCAAGCCGCCACATAATTATTAGGAACGCCGTAGTGGAGGGCTTCACAGATTTGGACAACTTGGTCGTCTTTAACGTGAACTCTAATGTAAGTGTCGGCAGTTAGACACTAAAACCACCGTATAACTGCAGTAGGTTGCATCAATAAGGCGAGTGCAAACGCCAACGTCGCCAGGACACTTAGTTCATTTGTTGAGACCATTTGTTATGGCGTTATGTATTTTTAGCCACCGATCATGTGATCAGGGATAAGGGTCAGACAGATCACCCTCTTGCCACAGCTTCTGCACATCTTTCACCCTAAAGTCGAGAACAACTAGTTTTTATGATAGAAATACACAAAAACGCTTTTCGCAGCGACTATTTTGAGCACCAGCTTCTGTCGTTGTCTCCGTAACCCACAGAGCAAATGAACGAGGACGAAAGGGAGCGAAGGCGGAGTCTGTCGAAGTCCCGAGCCGGGCCTCTAACCTCGCTTTCTTCCTCCATCATGCGCGCTGGCCCCTTGGTAGGAGCTCGTGCGCGTGCAAGGCTGGCAGGTGCATATATCTTTCACTTGTGTGGGGAATAATGGAAAACTGGGTTAGTTGGTAAAGGTTCATCATGAATTGAATGGGGCAGCGTTAGGATGAATACACGAATAAGAAAAAACACGACAAATGATGTGCACTCACAACTAGACTTTTATTAGAAAAATGCCACCTATATACTCAACGTCATCCAAGTCATTGTCATCAAAGGTGCCACGTGAACAACGTCAGGGTGATATCAGCTTCAAAACAGCCTCGTGGAAAACGTGGACAGCATAAAGGTATACATACAGCAGATAGAACCAACATGAAGTGGCACTATGCTATGCACGTTTGCAAGAGATAATCTAATTATTTAAATGAAAGGTCTATGGATTCGTGACTAATGCATTTCTCCTTTAATCATTCGATGTGTGGGGAGTTGTGTATATGTTGTGTACCGCTTATGTTACCCCCTTCCGATGAGTGTGTATTACCGTGTGTGGGCCGAAAGGTGAATACTCAGCACTGCTGCGAGAGTGTAATGGAGTGAGCACGCGTAGCATTCCATATGAGCGCACAACCGTGGCGCCCAGATGAACAGGAGAGAAGAAAGTAAACGGAGGCAACGCTTTGTCACCGCCTCTCACCTGCTCGCGCTCACACGAAGAGAAGGGGAAGTTGGCACATGCGCATTGGGGGAGTGGACGGACACAGCCCCGAGCAAACGCTGCTTCACATCACAATTTTTTGGGACAAGGAGCAGGAGGGGTCACCACCTTCAAATGGTCACTTTTCACTCTGTAGGCCACGGAGAAAAAAATTTCGGCAGGGATGGGGGGGGGGGGGGGGTGTACGAGCCTGGTGTGCCACGGGGCCGGCAGTCACTGGCACTGCCGATTTATCTTCGCCAGTCGTAATAAGGCTGTCAGCGTATCGCTTGTGTCGCGATGCCTATACTGCACAGAGTGGTGTTATTAGAACTCGAGCGCTGGCATTTCTTTTTGGTGTCTATGTGTAACTAATCTTAACTACTACAATTGCGAATAGCCAAAACTTCAAGCACAGTTGGCGTTGCCCCCAAGACAAAACTGCGCTCATAATTCCCATTGGGCAGTATCGCAACCGCCAGTGAATTCGAAAAGAAATTTCGGAACTTTCGTTCACGTTCGTCGCTTCACCACAAGCACTGCGTCCTCTTCTACCAACTACGAACCGAATTTCATGCGTTGAAAAATTTGAAATATCTTCCATAAAGAGCACTTTCTTCGAATAAACGTTGGTTGGTTTTTTTTTTGAGCACTGGTGTTGTGCGTGCGTGCTTCTTGTGTCTTTGTCTTTCATGCTGAATAAATTTGCAAGATGTCAGATTAAACTGACCCATACCGAAGCACACCTAAATCCGCATCTTATCTTTTTTAAACAGATAATACCTAACCTTGTGTATCGTTAACAAACTAGCTGCAGTAATGAAACTCGAGTAAGGACAATAATGTCGTTAAAGGAAGAAAACTCACAGACAGAAGTCAACACTGTGAACGCAAAAGTGGCAACCGCTGTGTTGGCGGTCTCGGCCTATGCCTCAGTTTTCTTTTTTCTTTCTTGTAGTCACTTTCTTCGAATATAAGTATGTACTAACTTGCCCACAAAGTAACACTCTTTAAGCTGCAATCAAAATAGCCGGTACAAAGCTAGCGTATAAGAATGTTCGGAAGGAGATGCAGTATTGAATTTACCGAATCAGGTGATAAAACACTTATTTCAGCCAACGCATCAACAAGAACATTGAAAAAAACAAGTTCGCGAAAGCGAGTTGGTTACAGTTACATTCTTCGTTTGACCACTTCTCATTTGTATCATACAGTGATGTTCATTAGAGCTGCTTATTTGTTAAGTACTGTGTTTAACGAAGCAAGTTGAATAACCCTCGTTGGATTGGTTTCTCCCCCGATAGGGTCTGTCGTGACTGCCTTGTCTCGCGCTAGTTCACTGTAGAACGACCAGCAAATCAAGTGATTTTATGTCTCCTCCATACACGTGTATACGCTTTGCGCAGCTGGCGAACACAGTGGGCATCATGGAGACGATCATCATCAGCGCCGTGCCGACCGCCGAGGACCAGCCGTTTCCGAGAGGTGAATTTCATTGCGCATTAAGTCGGCTGTGTCTTTATGCGAATGCAATGCTGTGACGCAATGCTTATTATATACAGATGCGATTCAAAATACGTAATCTTTTTCAAAATTATGTGAACAAATTATAAACTCTTCAGGTGCGAAACATCATCGACTGTCTGCAAGTATGTGAAATTTGCACAAGATAATGCAAACCAATCGACATTAAATCCCAAAAATGAAAATATGTTGCCTTTTGCGAGTTTATACTTATACCTAGCAAGCGTGTAATTAAAAAAAATTTCATTGTCCTGCATTCAGTCATATTGCATTTTTGCATAACAACAAAAATAAATGTTGGTGTTTTACGTCACAAACAACGCTATGATATGAGGGACGTTATAAAGGGAAGCTCCGAAATTTCGACCAACACGCCCTTAAATTTTTGTACGCGAGCCGCAAACATTCTCGCCTCTATCGAAAATGTTGTCACCACAAGCGGGATTCAATACCGCGACCTTCAAATCAGCAGCCGAACGCCAGAAAAACAAGAGCACTCTAGCGGTTTTATGAGAGAAAAAACAATAAAATTTCAATTGAAAACACACGCAGAATCAGTTTTTGTTTGTATACAATCAGAGCGAAGAAAAATGATTCTTGACGTTGTCCTTGGAACACTGCACGTCGACCACACAGTCAAACGTCATAGCGCCGTCACTAAAGCGATCGGCTTCAACCATGCTCAGTTCATCAAGGTTAACGGGGCAACACTTGTTGAGTATGGTAAGAAAACACCGCTCGTCGGTTGTCGAGGCTCCTAGGAATGCGCGAGCCAAACAGTATAGCGGAGCACGAGGCCTGTAATTCGCAATTATTTCTCATAGTCAATCGTTTTATTTTTCTCTCTGGTATGCCATATACCCAAATTCCCGACCATAAGCTCATTGGAGCTCTGTGAGCTGCATATATAGTTACCGAGGCCTCTGCGTGCGCGCTAGCAATCGCACTGAAAGTGAGTCGTGCGTTTTAAGAAAGAAAAAAAATGACTCAAGATAATGACGTGTGAGTAGCATAACTTCTTTACTTCATGTCATCTCACCCTGCTTAGGTTCCAGCTGCGCTCGACGAAACGGGATAATAGAGAACGCGATTGCAGCGTGCGACAAATGCCTGCAAGTCCGCTCGCGAACATGGCGGACTTCAACAATTTTGCAGTGGTCGATTCGTGGGACAATACACTCATTTGAATGAGCCATTCGATGGCTACTTGGAGAAGTCTTGTAAGGCTCCTTTAAGTAAATACACGTTGAATACACGTAAGGTTTCATTTATCCTATGCTCGATGTATGTCGCTCTGCCTTGGCCGTTAATCCTAAGAACTAGCAAGACTAATGTTACGTCCACATATGTGTACGCTGCGACTGAAGAGGTTAAAACTTTGTTTCCTTTTACAGCATGTCATGCAGTATGCACATTGTAATACAATGCAACTTTCCTGTGCGCAATGGCTTATAATTGCACTAATTCAATTTAATTTTTGCAATAACTGTTGTGATTTACGATGAGACTGTTGTGTTTACCAGACCATATTGCGTATTGCCAAGTTGGTTCAATAGTACAGCAGAAAGTGTGGAAGTGTGTTATGACTATTACCATGTTTGGTTCCCACGTATATGCTAGGATTTCAGAACGTAACATCTCTGAGGCAACGTCAGCTGTCTGTACCCGTTGACAGCCTTCATAATGTTCCCTTTGTTCTATCAGCATTGCAGGGGACGGGGTGAGAGGAGCTTGGATGCTCCAGCAGTCGCGTCAACCCTAACTTGATAAGGAAATCCGAAACTTTCCCACCAACCTCCTTACCCGACCGATAACCGTAGGCATGTCCAGATACGTGCCATATACTGTTTTTTTTATAATGTTCTGCCCGATGCAGCACAGATGACCAGCGCATGAAGCGAGTAATTAGGAGGTCTAGAAAAAAATATGTTTTTAGACACTGTAGCATTGCGTAAAAAGGTGGCTCTCTACAGTAGCAGAGTTTCACAGTCAGTCATCAGCAATGTGTTTTTGTTGTCAAGTTGCTTCATGATATACAGTTATGCTCTGTCTCGAAACAGGTGTGCCTCTTTTTTTCTATTTTTACGTATTGCGTTTCTTTGTTGTTATGTTACTGTCACTACACTGAAAACCAACGCACTATCTGCACCCGACCTTGTAACAAAGCAAGAAACAAAATGCAAGGAGAATAAGACTTCCACTTTCCTTTCGTGCGGCTGTCCTCAGCGCCAAGGTATCTCACCTTCCTAACTTGCTGCTTAACAAAGTTACGTAGCCGAAGACGATACCTTATTTTTTGTCCTTGCTGCAGTCAAGGGAGGCTGGGGCTGGGAGACAGACTAGACCTACTGGAGCCACCTTTCTCCGTAAAACTTTAGTGCGAGCTAGTTGCAAGCAGAGTGCATAGGCGCTTCTGCCAGTCTAACTATTTTGATCGATATGTGAGGTTTAACGTCCAAAAACCACCATATGATTATGAGAGACGCCGTAGTGGAGTGCTCCGGAAATTTCAACCACCTGGGGTTCTTTAACCTGCACCCAAATCTGAGCACATGGGCCTACAACATTTCCGCCTCCATCCTAAATGAAGCCGCCGCAGCCGGGATTTGATCCCGCGACCTGGGGGTCAGCAGCCGAGTACCTTAGCTACTAGACGACCACGGCGGGGCGCCAGTCTAACTAGGAGCAGTGATCACGGCAAATGGCTGTTCGCTAACGCCGTCCACTCAAAAGAACGACGAGAAAGACGGAAATGTCATTTAGGAGTACTTTCTCGAGTAAAGCTCCAGTTTGGGCTAGTTGGTGCATTTTTGAACACACATTTTCTGGAGCGTGACACTATACAGAATGTGCGGGTCACAAAAAGGCAGACAGTTGGCACCGTCTCTTTCTTCTTTTTCAGAACCTAATGGAGTTTTCCTAGGGAACTGCCGGTCGATGTTCGCTGCAATTTACCCGTAATTTAGCGAATCGACGTCCTCAGAAGTTTCTGTGTGATTATATATATATATATATATATATATATATATATATATATATATATATATATATATATATATATATATATATATATATATATATATATATATATATATATATATATTCATTCTGACGAAGGCCGGGCCCACGGTCGAAACGTCAAGTAAAAAATCTTTTCACTTGTGAGTCAAACTCCTTTTATTCTCCTATATATATATATATATATATATATGAAGTGTGTGTGTAGGCGCTCGCACGTATGGGACCAAGTGAGGAGGCGATCGCCCCCTCCTCGCCTTAGTCTTGTATGTATATATATTTTGGGGGGGGGGGGGGGGAGGCGTGAACGTGAAGTCTCCCCATACTAGATGAGCTACTAGGGCTACTTGGTGGTCCATTATTAGTTGCAGAAAACAGCGCTTAAAATAGACGAGGACAAGTGAAGATATGCCCATGTTCTGTCACCACTTGCTCGCGCCCACTCTAAGCACTGTTTTTTTTTTATACCTAATGATAAACGACCCATATTTTGAATTAATAGAAGGGGGGGAGTACTAAGATAAACCATCGCTCACCCTCGAGGAGACACCTGTGCACGCCTATGCCGCTTATAATCTCTCGCAACGCTCTAAATGTAATCGTAACACATTTCGACCCAAACTTGAGGTGCATTTTCTTACAACTGCGCCGTGTCATTGTTTTATTTTTCGAGTTTCAACATTTGTTTTTACAAAATTTTGCTTGTGCTGCGTTTTAATATGTTACAATCTGTTTGTATGACATTAAGGTTCGTTAGTACACCATGCTGTTAACTTTTTGTTGTATTTTTCTTGACTGTTAATGCAAATGACGTTGGCACAAGCAGGTGGTTCTCTATTTTTTTCTTTCTTCACTGTTATTAATCACTTGTATTTTAAACCTTTTTTAGTTTATTTTCAGTTTTTTTGTACCCTCTTACTCAATACCTTTGGGTCTGCGATACATTTTTTTCATAAAAAATAATCTACTATTTGTATATCGCACCTGTATAATCAAATATGAGTAAAAGCATCAACAGGCGTAATATTTTCATCTTGAATATATGATGATGGCTAATTATACTGCCCTAAAAATTACGGCATCTGCCAAGATTTAACGAGCAAGTGTTCCGGTCATTTTATATGTGATCTTTAATAAAAGAAAATTGATTACGTCAGACACACACACAGACACCGGTAGGGGTTTGTGTAATACTTATCCACCGGCACCGTGAAGGTCGTGATGCCTTACAGAAAGTGTGCCATAATGGGATGAAACGAGCAGGATACCCTCGAGAGGAGTTGTGCCGGGACTTTGGGCGCCCACCTAACGTCTCCGTGGCGCGAGAGAAGCGTTCAAGTACGCCGTTAATGCGATCACTGCGCCCAGAAAAACCGCCTCTATAACCCGTGGCGCAACGGCGGTCCTCCACTCCTCACACCCTCTTCGCCGCGTTTTCGTGAGCACCGCTCTCCCGAATAATATATGCTCGCTCTGGGAAACATGGGCACATTTTCATTGAAGCCAGGTTGTTCCAGCCATGACTAGACGACACTCTCTGTGAACGGTAAAATCGAAAATTACCGCGATGGGTCAATCGTGTGACGTCTTGCAGGCTATAGTCACTTCGTATTAAGTCAAATGTGCCCCCGTTCACATTTTTTTTCTTAGAAAAAGAAAGCACATGCGCGTGAGAAAAAAAAACTATAAACTCGAGTTCGTGTAATGAACGAGCTTGGCCGTTTCGTTTGTCAAAACCATCTGCTCGTGGACTCCGACTACGAATCGACCATGAGCTGCTAATTTCTCCTTAGATAAAAAAGTTGACTGTGCGTCCGCCTCGATATTAAAATACGTTCTCAATTTTACATTGTTGAAATCTTGTCGATTGGCAGTAACATTTAAATTCCAGAATAAATATTCGCCATTGACAGTACTTTAATAGTTCAAAATTTAATATATACTATTGAGTGTGATAAATCATCTCGCATAAATAATGAGCATATGAGAATCTGTAGCTGTAGCTATTGGTCGTGACCACTCAGGCCTGCATTTATTTTTGGGATCATCTAGTGGTCTTTTTTAGGGTGCAAAAATATAAGCACATAAGGAGAAGAAAAAATATTCTGTGCAGAAATAATGGTAGTACCAACGTGATGAAAAGAGCGTAGAAACAGCTCTTTTTTTATTCAGATAGTTGTTTCACGCAGTAGCCTTTGTTACACACTGTTCCTCGTGTAAATACGTAAACACGCCCTTCTGTGACCCGCATACTGTGAGTCTATTATTCACTCAGTGATAGCGCATCGCGAAGTCACGCAACATTGAGGAAGCCCTTGTGGTCGACCGTTGTCTCATTCTCATTATTTTTGCAGGACGTGTCAGTGAACTTGCCTTGCATCGCTTTTCGTTGCCTCCACGTACATTTGTGCACACGTATAGATGATAACCTCTAACGAAATCACTAAATATAAAATAAGTTTATGGAGGAGGGGGGGGAAGAGTCGCTTTTTACAGCACCGAAAAAAAAACGTCTTGGTGGACCATTCATAAAAGTGCTAAAAGGAACTACGCTTGGTAACACTGTAGTACACTTGCCTGACAAGTTCGCAATCATGCCACAGGCTGTGGTTTCGGCATCGTCTGCTCGGTTCTACAGTACATTTTAATATATGTAATGATAGACGACAAGGCTTCTCAAAAGAACAAATTTAGCAAGCTTTAAGGACACTAACTGCCTTGCACAGACTTCGCTCATGATGAATGTTTAACCTCTTGGGCCTGCAAGCTTTGAGTGCAGGCGTCTACCTATAATTTGGTAGGCTTAATCCCAAACGCAGCAGTTATAAATCTATATATACATTACTATTACTCACATCGTTCTATAACGTATCTTGACGTACTGCAGAATCTATCTATCTATCTATCTATCTATCTATCTATCTATCTATCTATCTATATATCTATCTATCTATCTTTACCTAACTTTTTTTACTTCTCTCACAGTGGAGCTGCTATACGCGTACACGTTCAAGGGCATGGAGTCATCCTTCAACTGCTTCTCGGCCATGATACTCCTCTTCGGTGCCGTCGGTGTGAGTTGCAATCTCCTCGCTAGACAATGTTTTTGTAAAAGTCCTGTATTACTGAAATTCGATCACAGAAACATTTAAGTTGCGAGGTGTGCGACCGCTGTCCGAATGACTGGAATATATCTCAATTTGTAGAAAAACAAACCATATACGTAAAAATTCTATAGATAAAAATTTAACATCAATGAATCCATCATGTCTATGTGCAAAATATACAGGTTTCTTTTCCCACTCGTAGCATTTTTGGGAGACCGCCAGGTGGCGCCAAGGAATGCACACGCGTTCACATCGGCTCCGTCAATCATCGTACCTAGCAGCGGTTAAAATCATGTGACTACCAGTGAAACTACGGGAATTGTGCAGGAAGACGTCAGGTACACGCTGACACCACCTTTTTGGACAAGCGATCCCGGTTTCCTCTGGGAAGTGAAGACCTTCGGCAGAGCATGCCAACCCGCCACGCTAAGCCTCGCGGCGAAGCGGAACGCGGAGTCCTGGCAGCCAGCTCTCGGCCGACGCGTTGCGCTGCACCTGCCCGAACCCCAACGGACAACGACCCGGAACTAGCCCAGGCACTTATGGACATGGATGACCAAGACATCGAAACCCAAGTGAGCTCTGCGGTGGACGCCAACGAAGATTTCCTTTCACCTGACGAGGTGCTACAAGGGGAATCTACTAGCGACGCCGAGAACAAGGAAAAAGACTCTGCGCAGGAACGCGGCGACGAAGCCAAGAATGGTCAGTGGCAGGTAGCTATGTCATTGCGACTGCGAAAACGCATCAGGAAACAAGAACGCGCCGCGAGTGATGACAGCGTTGCTCGAGGCGAAACTGAGAGCAACAGCTCCGGCGCTAGAACGCTTGCAGAAGAGCAACGCGGAAGAGCATCTGATAGGGGCCGGCGACGAAAGCGCGCGGCGCCGCTGCCCAAAAACGATATGAAGATTATCATGCGGCCCAGACCAGGGTTAGTTGTGAAGGAACTGAAAGCATACCAGGTTGCGCGAGCGATAGAACATGTGAGCGGTGACCCGGAGGCCTGTAACAGCACAAATTTCTGCTTCGCCTTCGCAACGGATCAAACATAATTATTGCAAGCACTCCGTACGAAGATGTAGCAGAAAGGATCTTGAAGATAAAGACACTGGAGCTCAATGGCACCAACTATCCCGTGAACACCTACATATCCACTCCTGCTGGATACCTGAAAGGAGTGGTACACGGATTAGAACGCGAAACGCCAGAAGCTGAACTCCTGAGCCATCTCCGAGTGCGCACTCAAGGAGTGACAATTGTTCAAGCCCGCATGCTCGGACAGTCACAAACTGCAGTGATCACGTTCGATGGACCAATACTGCCGCGCTTCGGGTATTATTACGGTGGCGAAATGCCGTGCGTGCGTTATCAACCCACACGGCAGTACTGTAAACTCTGCAAGAGCCAGGGACATAGGACGGATGTTTGTCCCACACCAATGACAAAGGCGTGCAGTAACTGTCGCCTAAGAGACCCACCTAAGGACCACACTTGCGATCCGGAATGTGCCCTGTGCGGCGGACGCCATCCCACGGCGGCATCGGAGTGCACCAAGAAATTCAAACGCGTCCCTCAAAAGGGCCGGTCGCTGCTGTCACACCAACACAGCACACCAAAAACCACTGGCATACTCAAGAGACGCTGGTTCAGCACGGACCGCGAGGACTCAGCACCGCCAAGCAGGGCCCGTTCCAGTTCCCGATCCAGATCTCGATCTACATCCCGATTCAGGTCCAGCTCTCGAGACTGCTTCAACTCCAGGAATGGTGGTCACAAGCAGGCCCAAGCAAAGCAACAACAGCACAAGGGCAAGAAGGCGCAGAAAAGGGAAGCGAAGAACCAGGTGAGCTGGGCAGCAAAATCCTCCCAACACTCACACCAAACACCACAACTCACGCGCTTAGAACGTGAGTTAGAGATAACGCGGGTGAGAATAGGTGACCTAGAACGCGAAAATAGGGAACTAAAAAAGCAACAAACGCAGCACCCGCAACAAAACTCTATACCCACCCAGAGTGGCCAGAAATCGCAGACGCAACCGAATGCAAGAGGTGACTCAATGATTACCTTCGTGCGCGGGCAAGCTCATGGAGACGATGGTACGGGATCGCCTCTCCCCATACCTTGAGGGCAAGGGCTTCTTTGCAGACACCATGTTTGGGTTTCGCCCACACATGTCTGCACAGGACGTCCTTCTCCAGCTCCATAGGGCCGTCATACAGCCCATAAGTATGCAACACAATGATAAAGCCATCCTCGCCCTTGATCTGAAGGGGGCTTTCGACAATGTTAAACACAGCAGCATCCTGGCTAACTTGAGCTCCACTGATTGCGGGGCTAAGGCCTTTGCATATGTCAGAGATTTTCTCTCTAAACGCCAGGCACTTCTTCGGATCGAGGACGAGGAATATGGCCCGTACATTATGGGAACACGAGGTACCCCACAGGGAGCAGTGTTATCACCACTCCTTTTCAACATTGCTATGATGCGCCTTCCAAGCGAATTGGCCAGGGTGGAAGGCACACAACACGCAGTATATGCCGACGATATTACAATCTGGACCACTGAAGGGAGCCTTGGTGAAATGCAGGAACGCCTTCAGCAGGCCGCATCCATAGTCGAGGCGTATGCCAACGATTGTGGACTCCAATGTGCTCCAAACAAATCAGAGCTTCTGCACGTTAGAGCGAATCCAAAAGATAAGTCAGCCATACACATCTCCCTGTCTGGGGTTCCCATCAGAGAGGTGGAGGAGCTCCGAATTCTGGGCCTGTTCATTCACCACAGACTCAGACCGGACTCCACTATAGCGAAACTCAAGAGAATAGGCGAACAGGTAGGGCGCATGATCCACCGCGTTTCCAACAAGCGGGGTGGTCTGCGGGGCAGAGACGCGCTTCGGCTCGCGCATGCCTTCGTGACTAGCCGAATCCTCTACGCCGTCCCATACCTTCGCACTAACAAGCAAGAAGACGAAAGAATAGATGCCATCATTCGTAAGGCTACTAAACGAGCTCTGGATCTCCCGGTGGCCACTTCCAACGCCAAACTGAGGGCGTTAGGTGTGCTCAACTCCTACCAGGAGTTGCGGGAGGCCCACCTTATGAATCAATATACGCGGCTCGTGCAGACGGCTCCCGGGCGCCGCTTGCTAAACCGCTTACATATACAGCACACTTGCACTGCAGAGGAGGCGGAGCGTATTCCGGAACTGTGGCGGCATATGCTCTCGGTCGCTCCACTCCCCAGTAACATGGATAAGCACACGCACGAAAGCAGAAGACAGGCGCGGGCTCGGACGCTTGAGAGGCAACACGGCTCCCGACCTGGTGTATTCTACGTAGATATAGCAGGGCCTTCGCCCACGGGATTTTACACGGCCTCGGTAGTTCACCGGGAAAAGCATGTCAATGGGCTCTCGTTCCGAGCACAAAATCCAGAGCGCGCTGAGGAAGTCGCGATAGCGCTTGCTGCTGCGGACCCCAACTCGAAAGTTATCATCACGGACTCCAGGAAAGCATGTACTCATTACTTGGTAGGAGAGATATCCCCCCTAGCCAGCCAAATTCTAAAACGGGCTCTCGCTGATCCAGCCCCGAAACGCATCGTATGGGCTCCTGGCCATCAGGGCCTACGAGGTAATGAGGCCGCTGACGCGGCCGCCCGAGCGCTTACCCACCGGGCTCCTCACCTTGGCTCTTATGACTCGGAGGCCAATACACCGCTGCTGCGGTTCAAAGAAATTCTCACCTATTATCGTGACACTCACCGCCTTTACCCGGCTCCTGCAAAGGGGCTGAGTAAGGCAGAAGAGCGAACTCTAAGGCGCCTGCAGACAGGTACTCTACTCTGTCCTGCAATCCTAAAGCATTTCGATGCGAACACAGATGGGCGGTGCCCACACTGTGGGGAGACGTGTGATATCTTCCACATGGTATGGGCATGTCCGAAAAATCCCCACCTACCCCCTTCCCCTACCCCTTCCCGAGAGGCATGGGAGACTGCCCTCCTCGACAGCTCATCACTAGAGTCTCAACGGGCTCTGGTGAGACGGGCGCAAGTAGGGGCCTCGTCATGCGGTGTCCCGGACTAAGGACGCCGACCATGTAGCAGGGTCATGCTTTGGCCCCGTACCTCTCTCTTTTACAATAAATGTTTTTCATCATCAATGATTACGTCGTCGATGCTGAAAGAAACATTAAAGGAAGTTATACCGACAGTTATAGAGCAAGTAATGATAAATGTAGATAGAAAGCTCGAGATTCTGGACAAGAAAATCCAGGCACAACACGTCGAATTCACGAAAGCCTTGCAAAAGCATGCCACAGGCATCAACATCAGAGAAAAAGCTGAGAAAATTTACAACAGGCCCGGATTGTCGGCCATGAACCAGGAGACGCATAATGGCTAATCATCAAACGCAGCGGTCAGAAAAGTGCGAAATATGGCAGTGGAACTGCCGTGGTTTACGGCGGAAAAGAGGGCAACTGTTGCAGCTGGTGGCGTCGCAAAAAAAGCCACCTGCTGTCATAGCAGTCCAGGAAGCCGGAACACAACCAAAATTACGGGGCTACGAAACTTATAGTACCGGGGACGCTGAATGGAAAGTTGCTCCATTAGTCGATAACTCAATTACAGCAATATGTCATCAGCCCATTGAAGAGGCGGATATCCCGCATATCATAACAGAAATAACCTACAAAGGAAGCCATGGAAAGAGCGCCTTCATACTTAATATCTATAGTCCCCCAAGGCAAAAGAGAGCAACATTCGACAAGCTCTTTCAAGAGACAGGAAAACTGGCGAAAGGGAATCCATTAATCATAGTTCGGGACTTTAAGGCCAGGCATGCAAGCTGGGGATATAAGATGCAAGACACCAAAAGCAAGAATATCGCAAGACAAATAGAGAAACTGGAAATGTCTCTGTTAACTGACCCTGCAATACCAACGAGGATAGGCAA